GTTTGAAGATGGTTGGCCGAAAGGTCTCAACGTTGAAACGCTCTCGACGCGTCTTTCCAACATTCAGTTAGACCAGCTTAAATCCACATTGCAACTCAATAAAAGAGTGTTTGCTGCCAACCCTGATAGTCCACTCCAGTCGCAAGCAGTCCATGAAATCGACACGGGAGATGCACAACCAGTAAGATCCAGACCGTATCGAGCACCGTTCAATCGTCAACAGTATATTGACAATCGCGTACAAGAGTTATTAAAGAACAAAATAGCTCAAGAATCCCGCAGCCCTTGGGCCTCGCCAATTGTTCTTGCTAACAAAAAGGACGGCAGCTTGCGATTCTGTGTGGATTACAGGAAGCTCAATTCGTTAACAAAGCGAGACAGCTACCCCTTACCTTATCAACAAGATCTCCTAGACAAAGTGAATACTGCATGGTACAGCTCACTAGATCTTGCCGCGGGATACTGGCAAATCCCTCTACACCCTCGAGACAGGGAAAAGACCGCTTTCGTAACACCAAGTGGTTTGTACGAATTCCTTCGAATGCCATTTGGATTAACCAATGCCCCAGCAACTTTCCAAAGAGTGATGGACACCACTTTAGCTGGTCTCAAGTGGGAATGCTGCCTAGTATACCTCGACGACATTATTGTTTTCTCTTCAACTTTTGAAAAGCACATCAGCGACCTGGATAAAGTCCTCAAACGACTGATTGAGATGGGATTCTCACTGAAAGCATCAAAATGCCAGCTTTGTGCTACCGAAATCGAGTACCTTGGTCACATAGTCACCCCAACAGGTATCAAACCTAGTCCTGAAAAAGTCAGATCAGTCCAACAATATCCAACACCACAAAGTGTTGCTGATGTTCGATCGTTTCTGGGCTTGACCTCATACTACAGGCGATTTATACCAGATTTTTCCCTAAAAGCAGCATCGCTCTTCGATCTTCTTCATGGTGCAACACCCTGGAAATGGGAGACATCAGAAAAAGAGGCATTTGAATACTTGAAAACTTCACTAATCTCAGCCCCAATACTAGCTACACCACAAATGACTAGACAATTTCTAGTTCAAACAGACGCATCCCACCATGGCCTCGGCGCGGTTCTATCACAATTAGACGAGTCAGGGAATGAAAAGGTGGTGGCGTACGCGTCGAGGACCCTTCAACAAGGAGAAAAGAAGTGGGACACACGAGAATTAGAGGCTCTGGCTGTCGTGTGGGCGCTCGAACACTTCAGAAGTTACCTCTTGGGCCGTCAATTTGAGGTTCAGACCGACCACTCAGCGCTAGAATGGCTCAAATTATCCAACAAACCGGGGCGTCTCGCTAGATGGGTCCTCAGACTTTCTGAGTTCGACTTTGTGATTAAGCATAGACCCGGATCTGCAAATGCGAATGCAGATGCTTTATCGAGGAATCCTACTTCGACTGCTGCGCCAAAGGAAAGCCTCATTAACAGATTGCAGACACCAGATTCAAATGTTCAAAGTCGACCCGACTCCATTGACTCTCAAACTTCGAATACTACAAGCACTATGAAAGCAGCGTTAGTATCGTCCATGGAAATTGACCACGAAGAAACACAAAGTGGTGATTCAATGTACCAATCAGACGATATTTCCCTTGAACCAAGTGCATTTCAAGCAATTAGCTCTCCGGAATTAATAGAAAAGATGCGAGAATGCCAACAAGCCGACCCATATCTAAAGATGATTTACGAATACTTACTGAATGAAAAGCCAATACCTGCAACACACCCAGAATTCACCAAACTGATGATGAAACTGAAACGAAATGAGTTTCATCTATCGCCGGATCAGCAGCTGGTTCGCATCAAGCGCCCTATACCACATAGGCGGATATCCTTTGATGCTGTTCTACTGCCTACTTGGCATCCTCCCAACCACAAAAAACACTTACCAATTCACGACACGATCCTCGAAATCTTTCACAATTCAGTTTCTTCGGCTCATGCAGGTTCCAATGCAACTTATCACCGTATGATACATAAAGTAGCGTTTCCTAGACTGCTGAAAGCCATCCAATACCACTGCAATCATTGCCCCTTTTGCCAAAAGCGCAAAACGCCGTACAGCAACAAGCTAGGACTGCTAAGCCCTTTCGTCTTCAAAGAGGACCACAAAGAACCCTTCGCGAGAATAGCCATCGACTTGGAAGGGCCACTACCCCAATCAACGAAAGGAAACAAATATTTAGTGGTTATCACTGATCTGTTCAGCAAATGGCCAGAGGCTATTCCAATACCCGACAAAACAGCCGAGAACGTAGCTGATGCCATTTGTTCGGTTATGTTTAGACACGGCTTACCTATTCACATTCATTCTGATCATGGATCAGAATTTATCGCTGGAGCGCTAGAGCTGGTTGAAAAGCGTCTTCAAATCAAACATACTTTTTCAATAAAGCGATATCCTCAGGGCAATCCATATCCCGAGCGCTTCAATCGTGTGCTTATCGACTGGCTAGCAGCCACTGTTAATGAGCATTTACCCGTCAAACAAAGGTACCTGCAATGGGACAAATTAGTTGACGCTGTCCTGTTTGCTTACCGAACTTCTGTCCACAATACAACAAAAGAGACACCGTTCCGCGTCGTTTACGGAAGAGATCCAGTTATTCCTTTTGATCTCTTAAGCAAACCGCTGGGAAAAAGTCTTGATCCTGACATTGTCAATACATCAGAATACACTGATTCTGCCATCTCTTACGCCCGAGACGTATCCCTAAGGTTACAGATAGCATGGGATATTGTCAGGAAACATATCAAAAAGGCACAAACAAGTTCAAAGCAAATTTATGACAAGAACCACTATGACGTAGACTACAAAATTGGCGATATCGTGATGAGATGGCTCATCCCAGCAGACAGAGTCCTCCGCTCCGATCCATATGGAGCCAGGAAGCTACTGTATCGTTGGGCAGGTCCCTACAGAATCGTACAAAAGTTGAGTAATGTTGTCTTTGTTATCCAACCACTATCAGCGGAAGTTGATCAAGACTGGTTGAGAGTACATGTTTCCCAGATCGCACCGTTCCAAGTGGATCAGAGACTGCATTATGGGAGCGCTGAAAAAGGTCGAGAAGAGACACCACTTGACGAAAACGGAAGTCCCAAAGCTTCGACAACAAGTCCTGCAGCAGATCTTCCAAGACTTGGAACAACTAACATACGTACCAACAAGCATCCTAACCCAGTGTTGGAACTCCAGGAAAAGCCTCAACAATCCGAAATGCCAACGGAGTTGGGGTTGAAGAAAGTTCAACATGAAAATGGAATGGAATCATATGAAGGAATCGCGTTCACTCGTGCTAAACGAAAACGCAAGCGGATTCGATTACTTGAGTCACGTCGCGAGAAGCCTTCCGAAGTCACAGAAACTCGCTTTCAAGATAAAACACCTCTTCGTGAGGACCTCAATCGTCCCAAGGTCGACTGGATGGGTGATCCACTAGCTCCGAAAGGCTTTTATATTCGTGAGGATCTCGCCAGAACTCGGCGCCAAACCAAAAAGTCGGCCGCTGACTCTTTACGCGAACTCCACATCATTGAAGAAACCCCATTGCAACTAGAGTTTTTCGATGAGTTTGTTGATGATGATGTATTCATGCTGGAGTTTCTCCCTTATTTAGCTAAATCCCTCCTTCCAGTTGACGCCGATCGTCGAATGATGACCGGACGTCACCTGTAGACAAAGCGTGAGGTTCGAAGAGGTTGTATTAACCAACAATCGGGAGTGCGAATAGCAATGATCCATTGGACTATTCGGGCAGTGTGAACAGAAGACACTGTTGGTGGGCATGTAGTTTGGTTCCTCGTTACTTTAAAATTGCGTCCGAAACGACAAAATTGAAATAATACGTCACCGGTCGGGACATCGAGTCCAACCCATCTACACAAAGCATAGTCCAGTTTTCAGACAAGTCCAGCCACCCAACTTCTTCTTAAAAATCGAGATATTGTTGAAAACACCTCATCGCATCCATCCATCAAAACGGTGCTGCCATATCAATCCAATCCTGTAGACTGCAGTCCACAATGTCGTCTGACGAACAGGTTACCATCACCCGGGCCGACTTTAATCGTGCTGAAACCACTGTACGAGAAAGCCAAGCTATTGCTGAAGCTGCTCAAGCCCGGATTGCCGAGCTAGAAAACGTCAGAGCAACCCAGGCTCTCCAACTCGAGACTATAACGGCTGAAAGAGACGCGGCAGCAGCCCGAGCCGAAGCCGCTGGTGATGGTATGGTCATTGACCAAACTCGCGGTCGCCCAGCTCGTGGTAATTCCAATTCGGCTCGTTCCCATGGAAGAGGATTTAGCAATGGGCCTCATAGTAGTTTAGGTGGTAGTAGCAGTGCGGGCCGCCCCGCTGCTCCTAGGGCAGTCAGGGATGAGCGCTGGGAGCAATGGGATCGACTGGCTTCTCGCCATCAACATCTCCATGGTGCAGTACACCATTACCATCCGATGACGGATGCCGACCACCCCCTTAATAATCATAATGTTTGTGTGCACCCAATGTGCGTACATGATTTAGGTCTCGTAGTAGGTGATATCTCCGCCACTTGCGAAGACCCTCGGTGTCCGATGACTACTCATGTACTTGATGCATCTGGTCGCTGCACAATGGCTCCATGCTCTTTTGGTATGGCTCCAACTCGGGTCCATGGTAGAACCAACCACAATAAACGTAGTCGTCGGTCCAGATCTTTGTCAAGTGATCGTGGTAGTCGACGTCACTAAAACTCGAAAAGAGTAAAAGTAATATCATAAGAAATTGGGTTTGAAGTACCAATCGGTATAGTTTACCAACTTATAGGTTTACAATAAATATCTCATCAAAGAGAGTTTAAACGTGCATTGAAGCGAACTTTATTTAATCTCTATGGTGGACTTGCCAAGGAAACCCCCTCTGCGTCATATTTCGTAACTGCCTGCATGATGCAGGTTTTGGCATTAAACAACGTTGCCTGAAAACGTGTCTTCCTGAGAAGATAAATCATGAAGAGATTGCATGATTGCAAGTCCTTCGGCTGTGAAAAACGCAACCTTGGTTGTGTTGGTGGACTGATCACCCACTTCATGAATAAACAGCTGTCGCATGGTGCGCATGATGAATGTTTTGAGGAGGGAATGTATTCGGCAATACACGAGTCTACGAATTCAACTTACTCTTATGTGCTATTTTGTTTGGGGGAGAGTGCTGAGTGCTCGTTGACTTTGTAGAAAAGAAAAAGTTAGACGTTGGACAGCAGGAACTGGAGGCCTCAGACCTGGAACAAGACACCAAGACCGCTACGTAGTGATTGACACATGGCTTTCCCTTCCAACACGTTTTTCTTTTGTGTTTGGTGGAGAGTTGTGGAGTTGCTCAACTCC